ACCTTTTAATTGCTATCACTGATGGGGTAAACTGATATTCCTTTTCACAGATAAACTTTTTTCATCTTCTCTCATGTATGTTTTAAGTGGCATTAACACAAAATACTAAATCAACTAAAATTGTTTTAACAGTTTAGTTGAATAACTGAATAAGACAAAGCAGAATCCTAGTTAAAGAGATTCATCTGTAAGGTATTTATTCTATGACTTACCTGCAGGTGTGTATGTGGGTATACCAAGGCCTATTGATGGTTGTTTTGTATTTCTTCCATTTCCGAATAATCGCACCAACAGTTGTCTCCTTCTCACCAAGCTTCTTGCTGATGGTCTTGTAGCCCATTCCAGCCTTGTGCAGATCTACAATATTGTCTCTGACATCCTTTGACAGCTCTTTGGTCTTGCCCATGGTGGTGGGAGAGGTTGGAATGGAAGATACAGATTGTGTGGACGAGCTGATGTTAGAGTAACTTCTTAAAGTGGCAGGACTAATCTGTGTTCCACATGGGCACATAACCAGTCTGTGGGAGCCAGAATTATTGCTGGTTGGTAGGGGATCAAATACTCATTTCACTCACTGAAATGCAAATCAATTTCTAAACTTTATATAACCTGTTTTTTTCTGGATATTCTTTCTCTGTCTATTAAAATAAACCTACCATACAAATTACAGACCCTTCATTTCTTTGTAAGTGGGCAAACTTGCAAAATCAGCAGGGGATCAAATAAATATGTTCCCCACTGTATATATACAGTATAAGCCATCGGCCACCCTGCTCTCTAAGGTATCGGCATCAGCTGTCAAAAATCAATGTCGGTCAACCACTACTAGTAATGGTATTGATCAGCATTTGTGCAAACAGTTGACACAAAATGAGTATAATTACAAAAAAAAAAATTTTCAAACCATCCGCGATGAAACCACGAGTGCTTGAATCTCAAGAGGAAGAAACCAAACAAAACCACTCACTGTTTCCTGCACTGTTGCTGCAGAAATTGTTAACCCAAGCTGTGAAGTGCTTCCGGCTTGAGTTTGGCAAGTAATTTGTATTCAATGAGATAAAAGATGTGTAAAATAACCCAAAAAAATGTCCCCTTTATGATGCCCTGATCTCTAAAATTAAAGAGACACACTGGATTGGTCTTGGTGATTTGGACAATGAAGGACACTGGGTTTGGGTGAATAACCAAATTCTCAATGAAACTGGAGTACAGTAAGAACTATCTGTCATAAATCACTGTAGAATAAATACAGCAGGTAAACGCCGTAGTTTGAATGACAAATGATTGTGAATTTATTAGCTGAGAGCCAAAAAAGTAATAAAAACAACATAAAACACGACCATCCCAGATGTGAATCAATAACCTAAACTATAGCTGTTTTAATAATAACAATAATTTAAAAAATTGTTCTTTACCAATACTGTTTGTTTCTTAAAGGTTCTTGTTCAGTGAGGGGCAGACAGAACCTGATAACTGGAGAAACCATGTCTGGAGAGAACTGTGCTAGTCTGGGAGATGAGAATGGCAACTTTCAATCTTTTTTGAAGCTTCTTTTAAAAAGACATAAAATTAGCGAGAGGGATTTGCTTTCTCATGTAAAGTTAACTTACAGTATAAGACTCATGTGTTATAGCTAAATGAATAGTGTAAATGTAATGTGTACTATTGCCATTTTAAGTCTTCTGAAGCCATATAGTAAGTTTGTGTGAGAAGCAGAAAATAATTTAATCACTTATAATCTGATGATTTTGCATGTTCACAACGTAATGCAGCATGCTCTACAGCTTTACTGATTTCTTAGTATGATAAATTGCTTGTTAAGTTGCTTGGATAAAAGAGTGGACTAGGACTTGATGTAAATGTTATTTTACAACCGTCTGATTTATTGGGTGACATCTGAAGGGACGAAAACAGGGAAAAGCATGTTTTGATGCTGAAGAAACATCTACTATACCATTATGATTTTTTTTATTATAACTACTGCAAAATAATAATAATACATTTTAGGAGGTGGCATTAACTGCTGCAGCAAAATCTAAAATCTATATTTTATTATACCTTATTTTCACATCAATCACATACCCAAACATATAGTTGCTCTGTTTGTTTTTCAGACCCATAACATCCTGTCTGTATTAATAAGGATGACACTTTGTGACTTCCTTATTCTCAGCTATCTCAACCAGCACTAGTCTCAAAGGGCACGTCTTTTGTCTCATTAGAGAGTAGTGCACGTCTCATGGATTCAATGTATGAAAATTCTAGCTTCATACTTGCAACAGTTGCTTCAGGTGAGAAATGCTCTCGATACAAAGGTAAGGCTTAAATATTAGCAGTATGCATTCATTTCTATTTTAATGATTTAGGACTGGTTTTCTTATGTTCATTCAACAAATACACATTTGGTAGACACTTTTGTCCAAAGCAACTTACATTGTATTCAAGTAAAAGATTTGATCTGTTCATGCACTCCCTGGGAATCAAACACAGTCATTTTTCATTAAAGAAAAAAAGAAATGTCTTTAAAATTTGAACACATTGTTTTCTATGAGTGCATGCAAACTGGTGTGCGACTGTAACCGGGATGAGTCGCAACGACTCGGCTACCCCTCTGCCTTGTGTTGTGTGGAATAAAGACTGGAGTCGGTCTGCTAGTTCAGTGGTTTTTCTTTTATCCAAGAGGCTGTGTAATCTGCATAAGCTAGAAACATGTAGTTATCAATCATTGTACAATCAATTTGCCACCTTCTGCTCGCTCTGCTCAGACCTCCCGCGGACCAAAGCAAGAGCGCAATATAGAGAATCTCATATTTCACAGTAATAAAGAAGTAATATAAAGAAAATAGTAATAATATAACTAATATCACATCAAGTACATTACTATATAAGCAGAACATGTCTTACATAAAATACTTCCCTTAATGCAGTCAACAGTGAATACCAAAGAAATATCACAGTATACATTGGCACTATGCATCACACACTTAGGCCTATTATTCAAATTCAACTTATATAATGTACCTCTTCAATCGCCCACATTGAAGCATTTGATATATATAACAACATCAAGTTCGAACACGCATAACAAAGAAATCACCAAAACACATAAAAATACATAATCATACCTGCATAAGTTGGAAACATAGTTACAATCAATTAGCCTGCTTCTGCTAGACATCCAAGCAAAGAAGAGAAATTAGCACGCTTCACAGGCTAACTTCCACAGTAACATACAATGGCACACTGCATTACTGCTTTGGTTAAAACATAGTTCTAAGGAAAGGTAACATACTCGCGTTTCTCATTTACACTTTTTAACAAAACACAGATCAATTAATTAGTGGTTATTTCCCTTTTAACACTCTTTTGAATGGGATTGAACAAAATTCATCCCTGGCTCTGAAGTTACATAATATTTTAATATAAAAATGAAATAATATTTGTAAATTCTATTCATCGAATGATAATATCAGTACATTTATAATACAGTACATAAAACACACTCAGAGTCAACTATAATGAAGGTAGATTTCAACTAAGTTTGGATTGCGTTCTCAGGACAAGAGTACAAATGTGAGGTTGGGACATGTTGTCTTATATATATATATGTATATATATATATATATATATATATATGTCAGAAGTTAGGCAAATATAAATTCTGGAAAAGTTCTGGACAGAAATAATACACTGATTCAAAGGTACCTTTAATCAAATTTATAACCACAGGTAACTCCACTCTCCCTAAACGGACTAAAGTTCTTCTGATTGTTTTTGCTGTCTGTCTGGTTTTTGCTCTTGGAGGTTTCTGTATTCTGGGGATACTGTGTGAGTATAACTGATATATTTATATTATGATAGATACAGATACACAGTACCAAGAAAACGTATGTTAACCCATTGGAATTGAATGGGATTTATGCATTAATTGGTCATGAAATGTTATCTGATCCTCACCAAAGTTACAAACCCGATTCCAAAAAAGTTGGGACACTGTACAAATTGTGAGTAAAAAAGGAACGGAATAATTTACAAATCTCATTCCCTTAAAATGATACATTTTCTCAGTTTAAACATTTGCTATGTCATCTATGTTGTATTCTGAATAAAATATTGAAATTTGAAACTTCCACATCATTGCATTCTGTTTTTATTCACAATTTGTACAGTGTCCCAACTTTTTTGGAATCGGGTTTGTACAACAGACAAACGCAATGTTCGCTTAAGCGAACAACACACAAACAATTATAATCTTCCACGTCTTTACAAATAAGTACATTTCTTCTGAAAAATTCAGGACCTACACAGTTTTGTTTGTTCTAGCATTCACCAGTGTGAAAACACAAATCTCAAAATCCCAGTCACTGCTTTAATGATGCAAATATGCAGAACATGCTGGAAAACCAACTAGGACCTGGGGGATTTTTCAGAAGAACAGTGGCCCGTTTAACTGCTCAGGACAAAACAAGGGACTCGTGAATAACTCATGAAACTCAAAATAATGAAAATAAAATTAATTAAAAATAGAATGTTGGTAATGGTAAAGCTCACTTACATGATTTTTTTCCACTGCACTGTGAATGTTTAATGGTATGTGTTCAATAAAGACATGAAAGATTATGTATGTGTGTGTGTGTGTGTGTGTGTGTGTTGTTAGCTTAAGCACATTGTGTTTGTCTGTACTTGTGACTTTGGTGAAGATCAGTTGACATGTTATGTCCAATCAAGGCAGAACACCAACTATTTACAATGGGTTCACATACTTTTTCTTGACACTGTAGATATATCAGTGACATCACTGCTACTGTTTTGTCTTTAATCAGATGCCAATGTTTCAATGCAACTGTCTGCCCAGAAAACTAATAACACAAGTGAGTACAATATGTTTAAGAATCCAAGAAACATGTTTCATTAACAGTGTGTTAAGAGAAAGGACTACAAGAGTGAATTTGTCTGCTTGCTTTTGTTTTCCATTTTTTTCTTAACTGTTTCTGTACCAGTCATGACAAGACGGCTTGAGGAACTTACAGCCAATGGCAATTACAGCAGAGTTATTGAACATCTCCACATCAACAATAGAGAGTTATGTTAGGTTCAGACTCATGCACCTACTAGGACAAAGTGTAGCCTACTAATTCCGAACCGGCTTTGATTCAACTCATTTCTTTTTGTTAAGCAAATACAAGTCAGTCTTTTGAACATATTTCTCCAACCACTTGTTTTCTTTTTCTTAATAACTGTTTCTGAACCAGTCATGGTGAGAAATATTGAGGAACTTACAGCCAACTGCACCAGAGTTAGAGAACAACTGTCCATTTATGAAGGTGAGCCATCTGTACTTCAGACCCATGAAAGATTAGGCAAAGAGTTTGAAAATTTCTGCATATTAAACCAAACTTCCTTTTTTTTCATTTCAAAACCATCATGAAGTAAACAAAGGATCATTTTTATATGCTTTTTATTTCAGCATTTACAGCTCAGTCTTTGAACTGTGATATGAGCTTGACATCTTTTCATGGAAAGTTGTACTTCTTCAGCTGTAATGAACTGAGCTGGTCAAGCAGTCGTGCTTTCTGTGTTTCAAAAGGAGCTGATCTGGTCACCATAACCAGCCTAACAGAACAGGTGAGAAAATTTCAAGTTGGATGTAAGTTAAATCAAAGAATGATATGTTTGACCTGTTTAAATCACAATATTCAGAAACAGCATTGCATGTGATGTTTTCTCCATTAGAACTTTCTGGTTTCTAAAATTAAAGCATGGCACTGGATTGGTCTCAATGATCTGGAAACTGAAGGACGCTGGGTTTGGGTGAATAACCAAACTCTCAATGAAACTGGAGTACAGTAAGAACTCTGACTACAATTACTTAAGTTAATCAATGTAACAAAAACACATAAAAAAATTACTTTATTATTACCGTTCATCATGATCACTATATTACTGGAACGTTTAACTCTTTGCATAATGGCATAATGGCATGTTTTTAAAAAAAAAAAGCTACAGCATGGTTTTTTACAAAATATTATTGCAGGATAAATATTGTTTTTACTCTGATCGCCTGTTTCTGCTTTTGAAGGTTTTGGTACAAGAGAGAATCTGGGAAAAGTGAACCTGATAACTGGAAAGAAGCGGAAAACTGTGCAATTATGAAAAATGATTTAAACTATTTAGAAAGTTGGTTTGATGTTTTTTGCAAATATCGGATGAAGTTTATCTGTGAAAAGAAATATTAATTTACCTCCGTCAGTGCTGCTAATATTGATGAGGTCTATTTTGTATATGCATAGAAAACAAGGCTTTTTTGGATTTGCTTACTCAGAATAAAAATGCTATTCTTTTCTCCAGTGATTATTATTATCTATTATTATGTAATTGTTACTAATTATTACAACTACAGACTGTACATGCCAATACAAATGCATTTTATTTTGATGCCTCACACATCACTCATTTTGCAGTCAACTGAAGTGCTTTAGTATCAGATATGAAACTGCTGTGCACTCAAAACATATTTTGGCCTAAATGTATATATTTTTGAATTGCACATGTCCATCCATTTGGATTACACAGTTTTACTAAACGTTATGCATATTTCTCAGTCATACATAAATGACACTTTCTGCACTCAAAAAATCATGAAAATCATTATTTTATCATTTAAATAATCATTTTCAAAATATATTCAAATAGCAAATCCGTTCATTGTGAAAACAATTTTTAAAACAATGAATTCAGTTAAAGTATGAACCTTTAAAATATGGCTAGCTGTGGAACAAGCAATATGTAGTGTTTGACATCGAAACAAATTTGATTTATTGATGATATATATAAAAATTACAGTGTATTTAAAGTTTATACTATGCATCACAGTTTGTTTATATGTGTAATTTTTTGAATGTGTTGAGCAGACAAACTTTAGGGATAGTATAAAGACTTGTGTGCTTTATCGAAATGTTTAACTGAACTGAAGATAATCTGATAATTTTGCATTAATGTTTTTTTTTCTTTCAATTTTTGCATTTTGCACTTTTTTTCTGCTTGTTCAGTTACTTTGTAATTCTCTCTTCTTTTCTCCAGCAGAGGTCACTAATGCAGTGTCCTCTACAGCTTTATTGATGAGAAATTGATTGTGAAGTTCCTAATCTGTAAGGCTCTTTGATGATAAATAAATGACTAAATGTAATTTAGTAATGTTATTATATAACTCTCTGATATTGATATTGGGTGACACATCTGAAGGGGTGAAAACAGGAAAAGCCTTTTAGAAGAAAATTACTGAGTATTTTTTCACTATTCACTATTTATTTTTGTTTTCTTTACAAAAATAATACATTTAAAAAATAACTTTAATCTTTTGACAGCCCTATCATAATTTATAGTTTTAATGAAACAAAATTAGCAAATAAATCAGCACATTTAAACAAAATAAGCCAAATTAAATGTTCTCTCTGTTCCCTACTAAATGTCACTATTGCATTTTTATTTAACATCCCTGCCATCCAGCTGTGGATTCATGAGTAAGTGAGCTGTGGCCTGGATCATTATAAAACAAATTCAATGAGTCGGTGAGGTTTTGAGGTTTCAAGAACCAACTTGAGTGAAACAGTCAATTCAGATTATCAGCTTTGTGGACCAGTTCCACAGTTTCATTAAAAAGATCCTATTCAGAAGAATGATTTGTTCATTACTGACCGTATGTCCGAAACACCTGTGAGTGGAGTGACAGCATTTTCTCAAAGCATAGCTAAAAATATCCTAGTCAATAAGAAACTTGCTTATATTATATTTATATAACATATTTTCCCCCTACATTTCTGAAGATATTTTTTAAAGGACAAACTTTTAACAGAAAATCTTTCATAACTGTAGTTCACTTTCTGAGTTCGAGGTTTGAAACTTCCTGCATGTTTCCACAGTATCTATTAATACAGCTACAGATGCACACAACAGCATCATACACCTTCTGCATCAGTATGTATGTGCAATTATAGCCTATTTTACATACAGAAAAATATATGTTTGTTTAAATATTATAGGAGTGAGTGTTTTTGAGTTGCATATTGCCAGTTAAATGTTTATTAAAACGTTAACATTGTGCTTGTAAATGCTGAGATTCAATCATTACATTTTACCTCTAACCACTAATCAAGTTTAATCTGTTCCTCTTCTTCACTTTGTACCCTGCTTGCTTATTTGTCTGTACAAATGACTCTTATTACTGTACTAATATGTCTGCGTCTTCTGTGCTTCCAGTGAACACTCAACCAACCATCAGGGTCGTGAAATGAATTCAAACTATGAAAATGTTGATTACTTGTCTTCAGCAACAGCTTCAGGTGGCAAATGCTCTCAGTACAGAGGTAAGATATTACTGACATGTTACAGAATGTTTTTTTGTTTAAATGATAACACAGAGTTCAGAAAGATAAAGAATTGAACACTTTTACAGGACACAAGGAACAATGGCTATAAAGTAAAATTGTACAATTTTAGAGAAAAATTGTGCAGAACTTTTTAGGGGTATAACTGTGCATTGATATGGACTGATAGGTTGCATTGGTGCAACGAATTAAAAAAATATTTATTTAAGACTGATATTTTGACATATTTTGATGCTTTCATGTTAGCCACATTTTGTTTGACCGTTATAAAAAGTTGTCAAATTGTCATCAAATATTTGTTCAGTTGTACTACTGGAGCACCTAATTTTGTTGGATATATCATAATAGGGATACTATTATCCATTTCTAAAAAAATTCAGAGTTCAGTTAAATGTTCATGTTATATTTTGGTTGCATTTGTGAATTCATAAAAAAAATGTACATGGTGTGTAAACCTGGCAACTATATATATATATAAACTTTATATAAACTATATATAGAGAGAGAGACAGAGAGAGAGAGAGAGAGCTGGGTAGATGACTTGAAAATTGTAATCCATTACTGATTCCAAATTACATGATATATAATCAGACTACTTTTTGATTAATTTTAGATTACTTTTGACCTACGTAACTAGTTTATCATATTGATTTAAATAGGATAATCTTGTAAAAAATAAAAATGCAAAGAAAAAGAAAATATATTAAATTTCTTGTTTCATTACATTATGTCAAGGTTTCCCAAACTAGGGCTCGTGAAGGAACTACAGGGTGTTCACGAGTTTAATGAAAAGCTAGTAATTACATCATAAAAAATTTAAAATGTTAAATTAAAATAAAATAAACTTACTAAAAAAATTGTATAATTTGTTTACTTGACATTAACCAATGTCAGAGAACCATGAACATGCAAATGTGTTACTTATTAACTTATTACCTTAAAATCTCAGAGGGGGACTTCAAATAAATATTCTAAGTGAAAGAGATTCGGCTGATGATAAAAAAAAAAGTTTGGAATCCCTGCATTGCATGTAAATAAGAAATACCGTGAATTTTTGCATTTTAATGTGTTTAAAAAAAGAAAAAAGCCTTCCAAAGACATAGTAATGAGGGATAATTCAAATAAATATTGTGTTCATCAGTAGTTGTTGCAATGTTGAAATGTTGCGAAAACACTTATTAAAATGAAAAAGATTTTTGTAAATCCAGTGGTCAAATGCTGTGTGGCTTCTGTGAGGCCTCCAGACGAGTGACTGGTCCTTGTGTGAATGTCCACAAAACAGACTTTCTGAATGTATAGAAGCTATTTTATCTAGGCTATTTTAGAAAGGAGCATTCAAAAGATGAAAAGGGGAATTACAGAGAATCAATAAATTATGAATGATTTATTGCTATTGTGTGAATAATATGTAATCATGAAATCAATAACTCATTGGCTGATGCATTAACATCCTTCACACGCTAAACTTATATTTAAATGGTATTTATACGTCAAAGTATATAGTTCTTATGTTGTTTTGAAGAAACACCCCTGCCAAAAGCAGAAATAAACATTAGATATTTGCTAAGGCAAGAGTGATGTGTGAAGTTTACCATTTGACTTCCTGTAGGCCTGAAGTGTTCATGTTCTCAAAGATGCTTTGATCAGCAGATATGTTTCTCATGTGTGTCATGATGAGAAGTTGTCCCACAGGTGCAGCTGTCAAAAGATCTTTATCTTAGCTGCTATTTGAGGTTTTCAATCAGATATCCAGTTATACAAATGCTTGTTTTTTCCTAGAAGTTTTGTTTTTAGTCGTTTTAAAACTACAATTTAGGCTATATATATATTATATATATATATATATATATACACACACACACACACACACACACACACACACACACAGGGCTGCTGCTGGCCAAATGGGTGCCCTAAGCAGAATTGTATTGTTGTGCCCCCTCCCCAAAATATTCACTAGTAAGGGAGTCAGCACACTAGTGAGGGAGTCAGTCCGAGTGAGAGTTAATGGACTTAAATCACCTGATTACCTAAAAACACTAAAAACTAACAATAAATAATGATAATAAACAAATTAATAAAAGAACAGAAATTACACAAATATTATTTACTTTGATTACTAGGTATTTAATGATTAGTATATTACACACTTTTAAAAAACGCTATTGTTTGTCAAAGTTGTCTAGTTTTGAGCAGCAGGACTCGTCAGCGTGCGGAGATTCGAATCACTGAATCATGAATCATTTGATTCAACTGACTCGGAGTTCGAAAAGCTCCGTTTCCCTTTCATGGGAACTTCGAACTGCGTCCTCTAGGGGTCGCTATGGGGAACGCCTCGTCGTGACCCGTGTCTGAAGCATACATTGAAAAAACACCAACTCGTTGGCCGGCGACAGCCATGACGTCACTACCGGTGCGACTACAGTATAAATCGGTGCCGGGAGCTACACATCGTTCTCTTCTTCGTCTTCATTGACTGTTCTGTTTGAAGCGTGCATTTTCAAGGAAAAAGTAAGAGCTATCTATTTATTATGGCGAGCACTAGTAGAGCATTTAGAAGGTGTGTGCATCCGTGTCAGCGCTATTTGACACCAGATGACACACACGATTTATGTGTTGTTTGTTTGGGCGAGGAGCACGCACGCGGTGTCCTCGAGGGGGCAATCTGCGTGCATTGTGAGTTTTTTCCAATGAAAAAACTCCGTTCTCGTTTGTCTCTCTTTTCAAGTAAAGAGGGGCAGCCATCTGCTTCCCGCGGTTCAGGACCCTCCGCTGCTGAGGCACGGAGGAGAATGAGCTCGTGGGGATCTCAGGTGGACCTGGCCGATGAGTTTAGAGAGGGGCTTTCCTTCTCGCGCTCATCGGCGGGGGGCGAGAGACAGCCACTGGAGGATGATGTTCTCTCTTTAACATCATCTGATCCAGGGGCCAGTGCTCTGCTGGGGTCAGCCCAGGAAGAGCAGGAAATGGATGATGAGAGCGGAGAAGCTGAGGCTGAGCCTTCTCAATCCTCCTGCCCTGCGTATGATGAGCTCTTAGAGGTTATGGGTCGCGCCACGGCAAGACTTGACTTGCCATGGAAGCGGACTAAGGAAGTGGCGTCGCGAGGTCGTCTCGACGAACGTTATCTTTCTGGCCATAACCCTCCAGCTCAGGTGAGTCTTCCTTTCCTTCCTGATCTCCATACTGAGATCGAGAAGGAATGGAAGAAGCCGTTTTCCTCACGCATCCATCGGTTTCAGCATACCAGTTATGCGAATATCGAGGCGGTGCGCGAAAACGGCTATGAGAGAATGCCCCCTGTAGAAGAGACGCTAGCTAGCTATCTCTCTATGGGAGAGACATCATCTCTCAAAACTCCCTCCTTGCCATCCATGCCTCTTCAAGCTACATCTAAAATGAATGGCAAGGCATACGCAGCAGCAGGTTAGGCTGTTGCTTCACTGCACACGATGGCGGTGCTTCAAGCATACCAGGCTGATCTGCTGAAAGACCTGGATAAAGGCGAGGGCCTTTCTTCTGATGAGATGGCTGAGTTACGCCGCACCACGGATCTTGCTCTTCGTGCTACTAAGCAGGCTGCCTCTGCCATGGGCAGATCTATGGCAGCGATGGTAGTAACGGAGAGGCAGCTGTGGGTAAACCTGGCAGACATCGGGAAGAAAGAAAGGGGTTTTCTTCTCGATGCCCCGGTTTCGCCCTCTGAACTTTTTGGTACATCCGTTGAGGCGGTCGTCGAAAAGTTCAGGGAGGCGAAGGCGCGCTCAGCGGCCTTCAAAACCTTCATTCCGCGAAGGTCCAGGTCTGAGCCCGAACAACCCAGGGGTCCTGGTCCGTCTCGATTTGAGGATCAGAGACGAGCACAGAAGGCTAGTGTCGCGACTCGCGCTCCTCCTCCGCCTGCGGGTAGGGGTAGGAAGTATCGTGGGTCGAAGGGAGGTAGGCAGGACCTGAGGGATGTGATCCAGACAAGGCGTCAGCGCTTTTGTCCGGATCAGAGTAATACTTAGGTATCCACTCTTTTCCTCAGGGGGTGTAACATCTACCCCTTTCTTCCCCTTCCTAATTCCCCTGTAACCACCATATCGCCACCTGACCGAGGTCAGGTGGAAGCTTCCTGCATAACAGTCTCCTTCTGGACCTATGATGTTTTGGTTGGTTCTATGGTTATCATAGTAACCACCTTACTGAAGGTCCGGTCTAGAGGCTTTTCCGGACAGAGCTCCAACGCGGGAGCCGTGGTGGGTGAGTACGATCCATGTCTAAATATATGTATATAAATATATGTATGTGCTATGGAATTGGTGGTTGTGTGTACCCTTCTGCTAGTTTCTTTGCAGTGTTTCCCGTGCTGGGTTCAGAAACCGGGTGCTCGACTTGCAGTGTTTATTTCACTCGTCGAGATATGTCCAGAAGGTAAGTAAGGTTTCTGTTTCATACTTCCTGGATCATGCGGCTATAACACAGGCTTCTGCGGGAGTTTTGTGATTATCAGGCCTCCGGTGTCACTGCAGAAAATTTCCTGGACGTCCGGGCTGGGGTTTACGCTTTCATGCTACCCTGACTGGTCTACCGTATCCGGGTCGCCCTGAGGGGTTTTTCCCGATCACCAGGATATCCCCTTGAGGCATCACCCCCCCTCACCATTGAGGGTTATTGTGAGTATGATGTTTCTTTCGAGCGTTAATCCTCTCTGAGGAGTTAGATTCCTCGCTCCATGGGCTGTCCTCGTGGTAGTATTGAGACAATGCTCCCCTTTTATCAAAGGGTTACCTGAATGAGAGTTTGGCTAGACTGCAGTGTGCTTACCCCTCTGATTTTTCAATCATGCTGCAGGTCGAGCTCCCTCTCGTTGAGAGCTGGGTTTGTGCTCCCTCAGCCAAGGTAAACTACTGCTAGCGTTCCTGCATTGGAACATGCTGTAGGCCGAGCCCCCTTCTCGACTGAGAACTAGGTGTGTTGCCCCCACAGCTAAGTAAACTATTGCTAGCTGTTCCAGTTTGGAACATGCTGCAGGTCGAGCCCCGTCTCGGTTTGAGAGCTGAGTGTGTTGCTCCCTCAGCTGAATAACTGCTAGCTGTTCCACCATGGGAACATGCTGTAGGTTGAGCTCCCTCTCCATTGAGAGCTGGATGTTCTCCCCCAGCTACAGATTTACTGCTAGCCACTCCAGCATTATAGCCGTAGATATAGCGTCTGGGGATACGCTATTTTTATCTATAGGCTGCCTTTTCAGGGTGCCACGAGAACCCCTAGAACGGTATGCAAGTGTAGTGCACGTTATGCTTTGCCCCCTTTTCTAAAATCCACATAAGTGGTAAGTGTGCACGTTATGCTTTGCCCACTTTTCTAAAATCCACATAAGTGGTAAGTGTGCACGTTATGCTTTGCCCACTTTTCTAAAATCCACATAAGTGGTAAGTGTGCACGTTATGCTTTGCCCACTTTTCTAAAATCCACATAGCTGGTAAGTGCGCACGTTATGCTTTGCCCACTTTTCTAAAAATCCTGTATGGTAAGAGCTACGCGCAAGACTTCGTGCTCTTTTTGAGTGGTTTAAAACCCCGGTTCTGCCTTGGGCACCACTCCCCCTATGTATCCTCTGGATACCTACTTAGCAGGGTATTGCTACTAAGGATCTGTTGAGACAGTTCCTTCACCACAAGACAAACGTGCGGTAGCCCCTGTGTGACAGACCAAGACTAGTATGATTCTAGGCTCTTGGTCGTATTCCCTTAAAGGAATCTGTTTCTGATTCCAAGCCTTGAGCTCTACCCCGGGCCCAGGAGTCTGGCCCTAACAGGTAAGTAGTTTGGGGTATGTAGCTAGGCCTTTGGCCGTAGGGAATAACGTCACTGACAGCCGTCTAAACGTCCCAGGGGCAACTCCCATAGCAATATGGTAGAGTTGGTTCTTAGTGCTCGCCATGGTTCTGGCTTGCACTCCCCTCAGCATGGCGGCGTGGGGATACCGTTCCCCATAGCGACCCCTAGAGGACGCAGTTCGAAGTTCCCATGAAAGGGAACGTCTCGGGTTACTTATGTAACCATGGTTCCCTGAGTAGGGAACGAGACACTGCGTCCTCTAGGTTTCTTGCCATGCTGCGGACGCAAGCTTCAGACGAAGAAGTGAATGATGTGTAGCTCCCGGCGCCGATTTATACTGGAGTCGCACCGGTAGTGACGTCATGGCTGTCGCCGGCCAACGAGTTGGTGTTTTTTCAATGTATGCTTCAGACACGGGTCACGACGAGGCGTTCCCCATAGCGACCCCTAGAGGACGCAGTGTCTCGTTCCCTACTCAGGGAACCATGGTTACATAAGTAACCTGAGACGTTTTTGCTCTTGGAGGTCTCTGTATTCTGGGGATACTGTGTGAGTATAACTCAAATATATTATATGGTGTGCATCACTGCTTCTGCTTATGTTCTGTTTTTAATCAGATGTCAGAGTTTCAGTGCAGCCGTCTGCCAAGAAAACTAATGGCACAAGTGAGTAAAATATATTTCATGATCCAGTACGGAATCATTTTGTCTGTTTTTTTTATTATTTAAAACCATGGTCTGAAGAATGGATCATTGGATCATTTCATCTTGATTGCGTTTCTTTTCTTCTTTTTTTGGCCTTGTCATGCAGATTACAAAGAAGAGTTTGATGTGCTCCGCAACCAGCATAAGACGACACTTGAAAAGCTGAGCAGATTAAACCGTAAGTTTTATGATCTGAGCCTTGTGCAATGTTAAAAGACCTTTCACACACATAAACAAAATCTCAAAAATAAAGACGTAGTGTGAAATTATGAATAATTAAATCATCACTACCTCTTTTACAAAAGACAGTACAGGTTGTGCAATCCACTGGATTCATTCTGGAGGAAAGTGTTACTACTACTCTACAGTCAAGATGAACTGGACACAGAGTCGAGATCACTGTGTGACTCTAGGAGGACATCTAGTGATCATAAACAGCAAAGCAGAGCAGGTGTGTTTACTAGTTAAACACTTAAGAGATCAGATTTCATATTCTACAGTTAAATTTAGCTCACAATGAAACAAATCAAAATTATATATTTTCTCTATATGTGACCCTAGAGCACAAAACCAGTCATAAGGGTCAATTTTTAGAAATTGAGATGTATACATCACATCAAAGCTGAATAAATAAGCTTCCCATTGATGTATGGTTTGTTAGGATAGGACAATATTTGGCCAAGATACAATTATTTGAATATCTGGAATCTGAGGGTGCAAAAAAATCTAAATATCGAGGAAAAACACCTTTAAATTGTCCAAATGAAGTTCTTGGCAATGCATATTACTAATCAAAAATTAAGTTTTGATATATTTACAGTAGGAAATTTACAAAATATCTTTATGGAACATGATCTTTATTTAATGTCCTAATGATTTTTGGCATAAAAGAAAAATCAATAATTTTGACCAATACAATGTATTTTTGGCTATTGCTACAAATATATCCCAGCGAATTAAGACTGGTTTTGTGCTCCAGGGTCACATATTAAGACATTTTTAAGTCCACTAATGACATTTTAGCAATCAAGTCTCGGCAGACTGGGTAAAGGTTAGCATCTTATTCCACCACAAGCCACGGCTTGCTTACTGACAGTAAATGGCAGGAGGGGAACAAATACATCAAAAGTATTCAATTAGATGCGTGATATCACCTAAGAAAGTAATTTCAGCAGTTACATTTTAATGAAATTGTTGCCTAATGATTACTAAAGAATTATTTATTTAGAATAACATTCCTTAAAGAATCATTCTAAAACCAACAAATAGTCGACAATTTTGATTTTACATTGACTTAAAATTTTAGGCTATACATTGCTGTGCTCTAAGCCTTATGTGCATTATATCAGGAAATGTATTTTTATTATTTTCTCCATCAGGATTTTGTTACCTCTAATGTTGAAGAGACTCACTGGATTGGTCTTAATGATGTGGACACCGAGGGTCACTGGGTTTGGGTGAATAACCAGCCAGTTAACAATTCAGTAGAGTAAGATCTTCATTAATCTTGACAATAAATCCTTTGCATTAAAAGTAGCTATAAATGAAGGTAATTAGCAGGTCTTTACTTAAACAGAAGCGTTTTGTTTTTTTCTTTCTGCAGATTCTGGATGAAACGAGAGAATGAAACCAGTGAGCCTGATAACTGGACTAAATTTCATCCGGACGGTGAAGATTGTGCTGGTCTGGGTCATCCAGGCGCAGAGACGGATTTCTGGATGGATGCTTACTGTTTTGAAGAGAAAAGATTTGTGTGTGAAGCTGCTGCAGCGGTTTAATTCATCACTCCTCAATAGATATTTCTCACATTCAAAAAAATTGTAATTTACTCACCATTATTCAGAACCAACTTCATTGGAATACAAAGACACATTTTGAAGAATGAAGTGTATTTAATACTTTCCCCCCGATATTCTTCACGTTTTGATGCGTATTAGGCCAAACTGGATTACTATACAAGATAATCTTGGCTAAGTTCAGCAAATGCTTTGTATTAAATGTAAGACTTACTATTTTACATTATGATTGAAGTTGCAAAAATGCAAGTTTCCGCTTTTAACACTTTCTTTACGCCCAGAGTTTCCAAGATGGGGGCATCTGCATTTTTGGTAAATTTGTTGAAATTATATGTTTTTGTTGTTGTTAATTTACAATAAAATTACTTTGGATAAAAGCATCTGCTAAATGCATGTAAAGAAGGTTCTTGCACCTTGATATTTGTCTATGAATTATAGCTGCAATACATTTCAACTTAAAATGTAATTCCCCTAACCTGTAAAATATCAACAATTGTTCAATTAACAAACGGAAGCCAACGTAGGGACATATAAAATAAATTTTATTATCCATTTTTCTAAATTTCTACACTGTAGTGGCTTCTATATAGACACCATCATCAGGAAAGACTGCCGGACACTGACGCAACATAACAACTGTCTGCTGTGTGTCCGAGCTTCAATATATAATTATTGTATGGAAAAAGAAAAGGAAAAAAAAAAAAAAAGAAACCTAATTTAGTCTCTCTTTCGTTTGTTTACACTCAACATAAAAATGTGGCCATGGGCAGAGAGAGCATGAGTGAGTCTGTTCAGGGCTGGGCACCAGTGGCTGCAGTAACCTGTGTGGCTAGAGCACTGGGAGAGGAGATGACAGGAGAACCTGCGATGTTGGCCATCGGCTGGGACGAGGACATGGATGTGATGCCTCCTACAGGAAAAAAGACACAATGCCTTGTCAGAATTTGTGAGCTCAACCAAATGAAAGTTCACTCAGAAAGCACATGACTGACCTGT